CCTAATAATCTAGTTTTCAAAAAAAACTTTTCAGTTCCCAGATTAGCACTCACAAAAAAACAATATCTTGCAATATAGTGACATGTGCAAATTTAAAACTTTTCACCAGAAGCCCCAAATACTGCCTTTGGAGAGCTAAAATACTAAACTTAGCTAATATTCAATTCTGATATGGTAGGCAAATTGAAGAAAAACTCATAAAATGTTCAGGTGAACAACAAAAATGCTCTTACAAAATTGTTATAGTTCTCCCACATACAACATTGTCACCTGCCCATTGAACGAGTAGAAATTTGGAAATTGACTATTCTCTTGAAAACCACCCAGGACTGCTCTACTAGAGAATGCAGAATTACATGAAGTTGGACAGTTATTCCTCTAATCTTATAGAAATGGAGCCTGGGGCAGTTAAGTAACTCCTTCCATCTTCAACAGAGTCATTTGATTCTACCTAACTCTATAGAATCATTAGACTATTGCTAATTCTACGGAATTGTTAGTTTTGTCCTAAATCTAGCACAAAAATCTCAGCATTCCCTTTGTATAAACTACAGAAATTGAAACTCAGTAATAATAAACATAGATATTTGTAATAAATTAAACAGCTGTACCCACCGATCAACAGCAAACTCTAAGGAGTCTCTATCTAGTAATGCACCACAGGGCTCAACTCTCTACTGTTTATTTTTTGTAATCAATGATTTGGATAAAGATATAGAGAACTGACTTATCACATCTGCAAATCCCCAAATGCTCTAAAAAATATCTAAGTAGATAAAATCTTAAAAATAAGTGTGTGTCAGTCAATGGAATATTTTCAGTTTATTAATGGACAAGCATAAAATCATTTTTGTTTTAACCATTACTGTTAACAATGGTCAAAAATGTATTGATCCCCTTTTCTTTCTTAGGAAACACAGTCTTTGAACATAGGGACGGTTTCTCTAATGACTTGGCATTTTGTCATATCTAAAAGTGGGTCAATTCTCACTATTCCATTGCATGGGCAGTCCTGGAGTTCAGCCAGGTCACAGCTGTGGTGTGTGTTAAAATACCAAGATATTTCCATAAATACTTGATAAATGGCTGCTGCCCTGAGCCTCCCCAAAGCCTGCTACCCCTCTGATTCCTCCCCTAAGATCCCCAAACCTCCCTACCATCAAGATACTAAAGGAATAACCCAAGTTCTCCAATATCTTACTTCAATGCTGTGTCAATATCTGTCCTGATTGGGGGCACTGTTCATATGAACCAACTGCTGACATTTTTAATACCATCGTTGCCCATAGGTGTAACAATGAATTTAAGAGGCAACTGGACTGNACATTTTTAATACCATCGTTGCCCATAGGTGTAACAATGAATTTAAGAGGCAACTGGACTGAAACTCAACTGACTCCAGAATATACTATGAAAATTATTTTGTTAGTTCTGTTTGTTTTTAAGTAGTAGATTCTTACAATGTATTAGCTTTTTTTTGTATTTCAATTCTTTCCTTTGTGGAGGACTGGAAAAATATCTAATTAATTAAGTTTTCTGTTTAATTAAAGTTTTACCATAAAAGTCATCTCCCCCTTTTCAAAATATCATCATCATCCATTTTCAAATTACCTTGTTTGTCTCCTGTTAGGACCCAGATCTTAATATTGGCTAGTGATAAACTTGTAACTGTTTCAATAACACCCTCTTGTAACTTATCTTCTACAGCAGTGGCACCTAGTAGCTTCAGTGAAAAACAGACAATACCTTATGTTAATGCATGCAAATAACATCCATGACATCTATGGCTTTCAATCACAGGGTTCAGAGGTCAAGGAACATGAATTAAAGATGGAAATTATGACATATTTGCATAGCAAGCATCCCGTTATGTACAGAAGCAGATTGGGAAGGACCCCAAAAGAAAGTTCCCAAATCAAGCCAACTTAATGACAGAGATCCTGTGAGTTAGAATTTACATGAGGAGGCTGATATGCTCAGATAACACATTAGCAGTAAAGGGTCTGAAGCCAAGTGGGCCTCTAAGGACTTAAGAACTCCCCAGCTGCTTCTGCCCTTATATCAGCAATGAAGGGGTCCAAAGGAAAGNACTTAAGAACTCCCCAGCTGCTTCTGCCCTTATATCAGCAATGAAGGGGTCCAAAGGAAAGTGCTCACCTCATAATCAGGAAGCTGATCACAAAAAAGTAGAATCATTCTCCTATGTTAACAAACAGGCAGATGCTATAAACTAAACTATAAAGGTTCCTGAGCAATTATTCATTCAAAGATGAACAAGGCATGCTACCTAGTTCCACACAATGGCTGAGCTCCCTGGCCACTGGGGCCTCAGGGAAGAGTGGTTTCTAGAACAGACTACATTCTGGATTATACAGATATCACCAGAATCTCATGGGCCTAGGATGAGCTATAGCCCCAGTCTTCATAGCAAGTTTCCCTGCTCTAAAAATTGGTGGGTCATAAAGCAGGGAGGAAAAAAAAATTCCCATAACATCAAGGACACACCAAAGGTTGACAAAGAATAGGAAGTCTACTATCTTCTACTCTTGGGCCTTCCTATTGTACAAGCTACTGCTAATAGAAACAAACCTCTAGGCACTCTAAGGTCATACATGACAAACTCAAAGCCAACATATAAAACATGATTCAATGTTTGAAAGAGTAACATCTGCTGTGTGCACGACGATTTAGCCAATGGCTTAGTCCTATGCTAGATCTCTAAACACATATTATTCTTTCTGTAAACACAACCATCATGCTTCTAAACATGTACCATCAGATCTCTTTCAATTTCTTCATACAGCTCAGCTATCCGTTCATCCCTTTCATCTATGGCGGCATTTGCATCTTCAAGCATCTTATGCCACTCTTTAAAGTACTTGTCATCCAGATCTCTGTATGCAATGGCCAGGGTTCGAAGACCTTCCCCTGCAAACTCCTGCCAGAGAAGACGTAGATTTGCAACCGTCAAAAAACAGTAAGCACAGTAATCACAACAACAGCCACAATGGGAAAGAAGCCTTTTTACTCAATTCATTTTGTCCCAAAAGCACTGCTTGGCCATCCTGGTCTCTACCATTTTATCTCCTCAGTGATGGGAGATAATGTT